CTTCATAAAGCACCAGGGTGTAGGGGAAGAAAAACCCAAACAAAAAGACCAACTGGCTTAAAAAGAATGACCCAATCAAAAGTCACAAGCCAAAGTTTATCAATTTGAGACCTACTAGAAAAGCTATTTTAATATATTCTCCCCTCAGCTTTCTGTCTCTTCTCCTGGAGGGTTTTTAAAAAATAAATATTTAAAAAAAAAATCATCAAGACAGAAGAAAAAACACACCATGAACAAAAATAAGATCGTCCGCCTTCTGTTTCTATGTAAACTTCCAAGAATATTGAGAAAGGTTGTCAAACCATTTTTATTTCTCCAAAATATTTCTCCTTCCCTTTTCATTACATTATCTTTCGTTTGCCTTTTGTTTATTCATAACACAGCTACAGTTTAAATAGACAATAGAAGCTATGTTATTACATAATTTAAAATCAGATATGTTGTTTCTCTCAAATCTGATAAACCAAAGCAGACTTCTCTTAAAGCACATGGCAGCTTGAAATGCAAGGTTACGTTTTTGGAGTCAGACACTACTCTTTTATCCTCAGCAAGGTCTCACAATTTAAGAAAAGTCCCATTTCATTCTCTTAGCAGCTGCCACCACAAAAGTATTTAACAGCCTCCCCTTTTTCAGCATTTGTTTTACTGAGGGGATTGGCGTTCTGCTCTCCTCAAATTAAGTCTAATTACTATCTCCTTCCATAGTAAGATTTTTTTTCCAACTGATTTTAAAACAGTTGCTCTTCTGTATCATTTTCCTTTGAAGGAAGTCACTCTTTGATAACATCCAGTCTTCCTGGTCTCTCTGTGAACACTTGTTTAATACATTGCAAGGACATTATATCTAGACTATCTTTTGCATGGTCAACTAAAGGTCTGCTGGTGTATCTGCGGGAAATACACAAAGAGTTGGGCCTCTTCCATCTCTTTCACTGCAGTAAAGTATCCTAACTTTAACTGAAGCAAGCACTGACAAGTGCATATGCAAACCACAAGGCTATCCTACTCTCTCATGCTGCAAGTATCTGATTATTTTGTAGAAACTGGTACAAGGTCAACCTCAGAGAGACACTTTAGAAGATTCAGCAGCTACTCAAAGCTGGAAAGTGAAAGTTCAAAATTTAGCAGAGTAAAAAAATTTAATTCTAGGCCGCCTTCATTCCTCTCACCTGAACAGCTCCATCTCCTTCCTGTAAATGCCCCAAGTGTTCCAGTGCACGTCTAAAAAAAAATAAAAATCTGTACTTAACATTTTAGTAGAGTTTTAATGCCAGGTGATGTGTTAGTGTTCAGGATTAAGTGACTGCATAATAACCAGTGACAGAAATTTACAGGTCTTCAGGAATTTCATGATTGAGAAAGAATGATGTCTAAAGATTAATGGCAGTTTGATCTGAATTCTGAGAATCTAAATGTTAAGGCCAAGCATTTTACTGCCACTTCAGACAGGCAGCCTTTTTTTTGGGGGGGGGCGGGGAACTAGCCCCCAAAGCATTATGCAAGCGAGCATTCCGCATCATGTCATGTTCATCTAAAATTATCTAACCAATTTAGCAGCACAGACTATCTAACAGAATAAAAGTCTTATAAAAAGCCAAAAAAATGTTGAACATAAAAGAATGCAATGTTTCTACACTCAGTATCAGATAACGTATCAGTATCCATTGCTTGAGCTCTCTAACCACTTCTTGTTGCAAGTCTGTATGTAGCATGTGCTTGATTCAAACGGCTCCAGAGAAGAGCTTAATTATACTGCTTATCTGTTAATGGAACTATGAACATCACAATACATGAGTCTTTAGAGCAAAGTACCTAAAACAACATAAGTAGGATTAAAGCATGCCTTTTCATGTTATAAAAGCAATTTGTTCCCCAGAATTATTTTCCAACTTGACTTGAAAGATTATTATAAATATGGAAGAAAAGGGCAAGAGAAAAAAAACAAACCAGTGTTCATACAGTGACATTGTAAAACTATATTCCTATTTCAGGGATGTGAAATAATTTATAAGATAATACAACAAAGTATTTTCCATATGTAATAGTTTATTCATGCCAAAGAACTAATCAGTAGAAAAGCTTAACACAGTAGCTGTAGAGATAATTCAAACAGTAACTAAACAACACAAACAGGAAAGTGCTTCCTGCGAGAACAACAGCAATTTCCATTTATAATCGCCTTCTATGATGATCACAAGCTTCTTTACAACAGAATAAAGGACAGCAATTGGCACTTCCCAACAGTTAAAACCTATGAGCAAGATTTTGTGCTTTAAAAATCACAAAAAGTTATAAATAAAAGCACTAAGTAGGAAATTTGTCAGATAAAAGTTTAAACAGAAGCAGCCTGACCTGAAGTGCCCACACCCAGCTACAAGCAGTATTTGTTCTCAGAACTGGTCTACATAAAAACTGGGACTCGTTTCACCAAACTGATAAACTTTAAAGTGAAGCCAAAGGCTGTGTGGGCATTTCAGTGGGCTCACATGGCAACTGACAGTAATTGAAGTTATCATGATTTAGCAGAGCTGAAATAATATTTGCATACTCTTAGCCCATGGCAAGCATGAGGGATGATAAGAGTCTGTACAGAAAGAGGCTTAACATAAGCCAAGTTACATTGCCTTTCCCATGAACAGAGATCACATGGTGACTTATCTAACACATGGTAACCTGCCAGCCACTGAGACTTGAAGGTTGAGTCTATCAACAGCTGGACAACTTTATGCAGTTTTTTTTCTTTCAGGTTATAAGCAGGTTTAAGCTAAAACTAAAGATGTCAGTCAAACCAAAACAAGTGTCCACATAGGGCATAGCTCAACTGAATTAGCTTCAAATCAATCTTAATCTAAAGAAGAGCTATAGCTAACTAAGCTTTTAAGATGATCAAAGAAAATTGTATTAAGAATGCCTCTTTGGCTGGAAAAGATGGCTACACCAGCGAGCTCAAATAAATCCCGTATCTAGTCAAACCTCTCCAACCACCTTTGTACTGCAGAGCAACTGCACATAAGGAGGGTCAGTACACATGACCACCTCACCAGTTATCGCACCCTCTTCAGATGAAAAACTCTGTATCAGAATTCCTGCTGTGACGTTGTTGAGGGGTGGGAGATGACAACACACAGCACAAGATCAGCAGAGATGTGGAAGAGAGAGTGCATTTAAAGAAGAGAGAGAAGCAGCACCAAGACAGAGGAAGGAAAGCAGCTGGCTTACAAGACGTCCCAACAGGCACTGAGCTACAGCAAGCTGGCTACTCCCAAAAGAAGTTCCTCTTCCAGAATAGTTCACATGCAGACAAAGACAAAAAGCATAGGAAGGAGCAGCTATACCCTAGGTAAAACCAGCTGCTGAATGATTGTAGGACCTTAGAGACTCCAGGAATGAGGGGCTAGTCATCAGGCATTTTGTTCAGTGCTAACACCAGAGGAAGTCAGATTTTAGAGAAAAAAAGGTGAGACAATAAGCCCATACAACAGAGTTTTGATTGTAATTTCTGCTAGCATAATCACTGGTGTGCAGTTCAGGCCATGCCTGGTAAGAATAAATCAATACTACCTTCCTTTGGTGTTTTGTGAATAAATCACTCTAGAAAATACCCTGACCTTGCACCATCAATTTCTTTTTATGGGAACTGAGCTGCTGTCCTTAGGCAATGGCAAAAGTATGTGAGGTTGTAGAACATCAAGAGAAAAAGTAGGAGCGTGAATAACAATGGACAATACATTATCAACTTGTCCTGACTTGATTAACTTGAAATAAGATAGCCCCAATCTATAAAGAATAATGTTTTTTCTAAGATTTTGGGATGTTCAAATCTGTATCTTCACTTTAGATTCAGAACATAAAAGTTCTCAAGGGTTGAAATTAGCAAATTATTTCTTCCCATAATAAAAGACTTTGGCATATGAACCATGTAATAGATAGCTCTTAGCATCTCACTGCGTCAGGCAATGACACACATACACAAAAAGCTTGCAATATACAGAGACATAGCAAACCACAAACACTCTGCTAGTTCTAGTTCAAGGCTGAAGAATTTACCATAGTGAAATGCAGGTGCAACACACTGCATATAGTAAAGTGCCAATCCCGGCAATATGTCTGTGTCTAACTAAGAGACAGTTCCACAAAAATGTCACCTCAGTCCTCTGTAGCTGTCACAGAGCCAAGTGAGTGAGGACAGGAGTTACTAGGAAAGAATAAATCTGTGGTTCCCCACACCTTGAGAACTCTGCATTTGTGGTTCCCACACCTCATCGAAGAAGGATGTTGAAATGCAAAAGACCCAGTGAACCACCACAAGGACAATCTATAGGCATGAAACACTGTCAGTATGGTTAACATTTAAAAAGATGAGGATTCTTCAGACTGCATATCAAAACTGAAGGGGCAGTACAGGACCTGTACTATAGTGACAATAGGACATGATGCTCACCATCTGTTCTAATACAAGAACTAGAAGGCATCAAATACTGCTAAGGTTCAAGTCAAACAAAAGCAGGCGCTTCTTTACACAGGCAAGGCTGGATTGCGAAACTCCCAAGTAAAGGATGCTGTAGGTGCTAGCACTTTACTGGAGTTCAGAAAACAAGGGGATAAATTCATGGAGGAGGGGTCCATCAATAGCTACCACATTAAAACAAAAAACCAAAACCACCACCAAACACTGCTCTGACTTAGGAGTCTCCAAGTCATAAAATTGCTTAGGAAAATATTCTGGGAGAACACCACTATCTGTTTAAGAACTGTTAAATCCTTCCCCAGATTTTTCCCCAACTAAAGGCGACTGTCAATGCAAGAGAGCAGCCTAAGACGACCTTGAACTGTACTGTATCCTTTCTTGTGTAGGCATCTTTCTTTTTAGCTAATAAAACCCTTCTAAACATGAGCGTAATTTTCAATGCAATTGCTCATCCATTAATTTCATAATGCTTCACTCACTCCCCCTCTCCCATGCCTTCCCTCTCTCTCTTTTCAGATTAAAGAAAATCCAGATGGGGTGCAGGTGCTGCAAAATGATACAAAGGTACAACAGAACAAGAGTTGCTTAGAGTGAATAAAAGGAATGCATTAAAACATGTGTCTGCGCTCCCCTACACCTGTTGCTTAAATTAAGCCTATTTACAAGGTTGGAGTTTTCCCAAAGTTTACAGTATCTTTAAAGTCATGCCAGAGCATAGGCATACTGATTTCCTGTGAACGTCCTTTTGATTTACTGTAATTGAGCTCCAATTCTGTAATTCCTATCCCACAGAAAAAAATTGTGTGGCATTGAAAATTCAAATTTAGCAAAGCTTTTTCTCATTTAGATATCATGCATGATCTTCCCTCAATTCAGTAGAATGAGGAGCACAGATTTTGTCAGATCCTCCCTCTCTCCTAAGCAATGAAAATGAACTACAGATCCTTGCTTCCATCACAGCTTTTAAATGGAGTTAGCTGTGGGAACAATTCCCACATTAAAAGTCACCCTGGAGAGGAAGACTAGATAGTTTTAGAAAGACAACACTTCAGCCCCACTTGATGGTTACTCCTTCCCTTGGCCACATCTCTAGAACAGGTAAGGAAGTGGGAAAGAAAACAGGTGCTATGAGAGAAAGAGTGGAGATAAAGAAAAGAGAGAGGCTCTGGAAGAAGTCAAGGAAAATATGGAGTAAGAAGAAAAAAATTAAGTAAGAAAGGAAAAAGGAGGGGACAAAAATAAAAAAGGGACAAAAGTTAAAAAATTATGAAAAGACTTGAAAGAAAGAACACCAGGGGAAAAAAGGGAGATACTTTATCAACTACATGAGAACATATTAATTAACAATACATGTGATGACTACTCATTGGTTAATCAACACCCCAGAAAAAATAAAAAATAAAGCTGGAAACATGCAACAACCAGCATGAGGTTCTCTGACATCCTCCTTATGCTCCTGGTAAATCTCACTACAAGGACTAGTTACGATTAGTCCTGGGACACAGCAGCCTACAGTACAGCACAGCATTTCCATTCAGTTTAGCTCTTTCTCAGGATGCCAGGTAAAGTTTAGTGACACCAGTTCCTCAAGATCTCCAGCTTAAAAATGAAACTTAATCCTTTTTTCTGATATTAACAGCATAATTAACATTTCCTCTACAAAATTTCCTTACTCCAGCTATATTTTTGATCCAGAAGAAGTACAATCACCTGGATGCATTCATGAAGTGAACAGCTATGAACACAATGAGCAAGGCAGCAATAAATCCAAATTCAAAGAGAACAGTGAAATTCAAGAACATAAAAATGAACTCCAGAAGGATGGGCTAAACAGAACAGAAAATAAAAATCAGGTAAATAGCACAAAAGAAACTCTCTGGAACCACGGAGGCAGTGATTTTCAAGAGGATGGCCTTGTAAAGCATGTTGCAAAGCTTGATGTTGCAGCCAATGGTGGCAACTCCTGTGCTGGAGTGCACTCCACACCCAATCCCAACACAAACCCAGTGAAAGACGACAGTGAACAGGGAACCTCCAGCCAGTCAGACGCTTCTTCAGCCAGCAATAGAGACTTTCACACCAATTCAAATAGGTCTGGCCAAGAACTTGACCTAGAGACAGGCAGCCAGAGGAATGCAGCCTGCAATGAGCCGAACAGTATTCAAGATGAGAACTCCTGGTCTGCAGAAGACAGCATCTTTCTCAAAGAAACTGCAATACTGGAGAAACAAAACAATGCCATACAGCTGCCAGATATTGATTATCCCCAAAATTACAATCAAACCAGGAACTATGTTGAAAAAGATAGCTTTTCAGTCAATTGTGCACATTCAGATCAAAACACTGGGCCTTCGGCCATACAGGACCAGGACCCTTGTGTAACCCCACCTTCACCTATGAAGGAGAGCAGTATTGAACCTTTTAAAACTGACTCTGCATGTTTGAGTGAGGACGTTACTGGTTGTATCACTGCTGTGGCTGTTACCAAAGTAGCACAGGCACCCACACACCCCAACCATAAAGACATCAATGGAGAAATTGAGGAGGAAGATGCAGAAGTTGCAGCAGCTCTGGCTGCACTGGAAGCTGCAACTGCAGGGGAAGACCTGGAAGATGACGACGAGTACTAATGAAGGTTTCTTTCTAATACACTGGGTAAGATCCAGATTTTGTTTCTGGATCTATATAAACACATGTACAGCACATGTGGACAGCTGTTATGAACAGCATATATAAAAGGAGTTGGGACTAAACCTCTGTCCCTTCAGCTGTTTTATACAGCCTTTTAATTTCTACTGCCTGACCTACAGAAGTGCTCTCTTGGCTAACGGTAATACTAACACTCTTCTGTATGGGGCCAACTAGGAGGACAAAGCATCATTTCTTCCACACAGGATATTCCGCTGTATACCCACCTCACCTGGACTCATGCAAATGTTTCCTTTGGTTTTAACTCTCAAGAGGGTCTGCACACACTGCATGTTCCAGGTTCAGAAAACTTCCATTATTTAAAACAGAACTACAGAAGCCACGGAGTTAGAAACCACAGATTTTTATCATGTTAGCACAAAAAAAAAAAAAAAAACCCACCCAAAAAAAAAGACCCTGACCCAAAGTTCTATGATCTAATGAAGTATGAAATAGAGAAGGCAGCTTGGCCTGCACTTCACTGCAGTTATGGTTCCACTCTGGATTAAGCCTAAATCTGTGCATGTGCAGCTGGTGATAACCTCATCTCTTCCCTTATACCTCCCCTGGACTTTGTTTGATACCCCAAGTGACCTGCCTCAGTTCACTAAAACAGCAGAAGCCTAGCCAAATGCAAGAAAGTGGGTAACTTTCTGTTGGTTTAATGAGCTGAAGTAGCTCACATAAGAATTGCACGCCATCGGAGGTGCTGGAGAGGGATCAAAACTCAGTTCTAGCAGTTTGGATACATTAAAACTGTTGTAAAACTGCAGCCTGAGACCTCTCAACTCTGCTAAATTTTCAGGCACACATCACTTGCCTTAACAATACAGGTTGTGTCTCATAAACATCCCCAGCAAGATTTTTCGTTTATATACAAACAGGGAGAGCCAATGTGGACACCCCCCGGCTCTGGTGCAGTCCTTAAACTTAGAGCAGGAAAGGGATCAAGCTTCAAAGTTAAACATAAGACTTGAAAATATCAGCTGCATTCCTGGAGCGTTTACCCTTCCTCTGATCTTCAGACTAGCATGTTAACCTTTCTTGGGAAAAAAAAAAAAAAGGAGGTAGAGACCAACTTTGTGCTGCCAGTTCATCAAAAGTTGGATCTTAATGGCTGAAACAAAAAGTGCTTGACATTTTATACTGAAGTTTTGTGGTTTCACAGTTTCTGTTATAAACTCTTAATAAATTTTTTTTAATCATATAAAAAAATAATCTGGTGGCTTTTTGTTCTTTATACATTTTCTGATGATACACGTTACATAAAAACAACTATATTATATATCTGTCATTAGATACATGAAAAGCACCAACTATGTATTTGCCAACAGCATATGCTGAGTCCTAGTCTAACCCCTAATATATGTAAGGACCACAATATTAGGAGGTGGGTTTTCAGTAATGTGTAGATATTTAAATGCAGATTCGCTCTTTTCCTCTAAATACTGCAAGACCAAATCAAGATTTCAATTTCTCAAAACATTACTGATACCCCTAGGATCAATTTAAAAAACCTAAACTCTCAGCTTCACAAGAACTATATTCAGCTACAGATGAAAGTCACTACATTGTATCTTAAAAAAAAAAACTTTATATGTTTTTAAAGTATTGTAGTACTGCTGATTTTTCTACCACTTTCCTACTTTAATAGGCCCTTCTAAGCATTTTCATAAGTGCATACAAGTTTTATGTGCACACGTGTGTATCAAAGATTACTGAATACCGAATGACAGTGAAAGACTACTTGCACATTGCATATTACTAGTTATTGTTACAACAGGACATAGCACGTATCTGCTTTTATATCACGAGGGCATCACTGGGCCTGACCATCCCTACCCCCCTCCCAGTCCTCCTCCTGCCCTGCCCAGGGCCCAGGACCCCACATCAGCTCCCCAGGGGCATCAGACCCTGCCCCAGCTTCCCACAGCCCTGCCCAGCCCGGCCATGTGTCCCACCAAGCTGGGCCTAACTGCAGGCTGACAGCCACCAGAGATGCCTGATGCCAGGGTTGCCCTGGTAGCCCCAGCCTGCCACACTCCCTGGCTGGGGCAGTGGGACAGGCCCTGGCTGCGAGGTCCAGCCCTGCTGTCCCCAGGAGAGCCTCCACTGCTCCCCACATCCTAGCCCCAGGGAGCCAGCAGCCCCTGGGGCACCATGACATGAACCATGAAAACTTATTTAAGTAAAAAAAATATGTTAAAGAAAGAAATGCAAACACACACCCCAGGAAACTTATCTGATTTTTCAATATCCACTCGATTAGATTTTTCTAACCTGAACTTCAAGTACAAACCACAGCAAGTTTTCATCTTGCTCCCCAAGAATTAAAATACACCAGAGAAGAGTGCCTGTTCAAACCCAGCCAGTGCCCTGAACACTCCAAACCAGGCGTCTCTTGTACAGGCAACTGCTCACAATTGTGGACCACCAGAATTAAATCCTCTGCAAGAGATCAGCTGGGCTGATCACATTTCTTGCAGCCCAAGTTTTCATTGTCTTAAATAGAAGAAAGGCAAAAAAACAGTGTAAATCAAGTATATTCACTGCATCAGAAATAACCAGTCAATGCTTCTCTTAACCAAAAAAGTCAGGCACATGCATACCTCAAATCTGCAAATACCTATGAGGTATTTTTAAATTTTTATTGTTGGATACAATTTTAACTTTGTTAACATGGTTTAATCCAATTTCACAACAGAACTTCAATAAACAGACTTACTCCCCCACTCCCCACCTCTTCCTCCTTTAGTCAGAGAAAAGCAATATTCCCTTCTACAACTTAATTCAGAGAACAGTATTCTCTCAATGAAGCAGGAAAGACAATGGCTGTCATGATTTTGTTTTTAACCCAATTGTTGAAGTACAGATACCAAGCAGTCATCTCACAAACACCATGAATAAAACTATGGAGGTTACACCATTCCCTGCTCTGAATTTTGACTGAAATTATTATAGATTAAACAGGACTTAACAGGTTTTTGCTGTACTTCATAATTCAATTACTGTACATTACCAACTGAAAAACATTTTATTCTCTAGTGAAACAGAAAAACCCCAAGTCTTTAAGGAAATAAAGCATCCTAATATTATGTCACATTGCAGATGACTTAAGTACTGCACCAACCCCACAATAAAACCATGTCACATGAAGACTGCAGTTTAATTTGTTTGCTCATTGAGCTCCCTTCTATTTACCAGATTAGCTTGATTTTTATGAGGGTGCAGAAGCAGAAAGAAGCAAGGCAACAACCATTCACCTTAACCTCAAGAACAGTCAGATTTTCAGTAACCTGTGATCACACATAATATCCCCTGCTCTTAACACTTGGAGCTGTATGAAGTGATAGCAAGTAACTTACCTAGGCTTAAGCAAAAGGAAAGAAAGGTAAGTGACACAGGCAAGATGACTACAGAGCAAAATGAATGTATGAATGAGATTAAAATACTGGTTTTGAGGACAAGCTGTAAGGATCCGGCCAAGAATGAATAACCTAGTGTATTGGGTTTATGTGGCAAGGTTTTGGTAGCGGGCGGGGGGGGGTACAGGGGTGGCTCCTGTAAGAAGGTGCTAGAAGCTTCCCCTGTGTTCGAGAGAGACCCGCAAGCTTTTTTGTTATATTTTTCTCTCCCCTGTCCAGCTGAGGATGGGGGAGTGATAGAACAGCTTTGGTGGGCACCTGGCATCCAGCCAGGGTCAACCCATCACACCTAGGTTGTTTCCATCTCATGTCTAAAGGTTGGTACCTAAATAAAGCTTTACTTTCCTTTAGTTCTCATTTGAGAACCTCTTCCAGAAACAAGATGGTATCAAATGAACTTAGAGACATTCCTCAGATTAGTTTTTGCATAGAATCCAGAAGAAAAAAAATAAAGATCCATGCAAACTTCCATATTTCCAATACAAGATGTGTTATATGAAGGGTCTTTGCTGTGGCCAGAAGTGGTAGGAGCTTCTCCAGAATCCATCTCCAGAACCGAGGAAATACTACAGATTTTTAACCTTACAAATTTCAGTTTGGTAGATAAAAGCAACACAGGGGTTAATCTGACAAGTATATAGCATACTTTGCCAGAACAATGCCGCTGTCTGATTTTGGTTAATTTTTAATCATTAATCTCCTGTTTATGCAGATTTGCATACAAAACTCATCCAGTTAGCATCTGCAAAAAAGAAGTGTACTAAAGATCCAACATGAATCAAAATCAAGACAAATTATCAACAGCCCTACAAAATACTACACATACTCCACCCTGGCCGGGAATTACTTTTCCAGTCATGCATGAGTGTTAATTACCAGCCGACGCGCACCACTATTGTTTTGACATACGCCACACAGATCCTGTTCTCCCTCATCGCTTTGATTAAAAACTTGGCTTCGGGAGAAGGTTACGTTGTTCTCCTTTTAAGGACTGCAGCAGCTACTTCCAGGCCGCCAGCGGGTCGCAGGGCAGGAGCGGGGCCGAGCCGCCGGGCCCGGCTGCTGCTGCTGCTGCCGCCGCCGCCTGCCGCCGCCTCCGGCCCGACCGCCCCCTTTGCTCGCCTCCTGGGGCACAGGAGAGCTGGCCACTCACTGCCGGGGCGGCACAACGCTGTCGCAGAGAAGCGGTGAGGCACCTCGGATCTCCGATTAAATGTGGGCTTTTTAAATTTGTTTGTTTGGGTTTTTTGTTACACTGACACACTCCAAAAGGTTTTTGAATGATCAACCATAAAAGCTTCAATAGCTCCCTCTGCTGCCAGCAAATATCTTATTTCAGCTGCTCTATGCAAAAACCCACTCGCACCTGACAGAAAACATCACGTTCCCATCTCTCTCTACGTATACATGTGTGTGTATGTGTATACACACAGAGGTACGTAGAATCCTTGAAAAATAAGATCTGGGAAACACTATGGGTATTTTAATTTTACACTCTCCTAAGATTGCTGCTGTTA